GGTCCTCTCCTGCAGGGTGTTAAGTATGTGTGGATGGACAACCAAATCTGAACTTGCTTCTTTTTCTGTGTGTTTCTTACTGTCACTCCCTTGAGCACTAAAAGGATAACGAGCTTGACATTAACTTTGAAAATTCACTAATTTAGGATTAAACAATAAAAAAAATATAAGACTTTTAAGAGATTCTGCAATCTTCAAATATTCATGAGCTAGAAAAAGTCTGTTTGATTTTTAAAAGTTACTCATTTGCCTGAAATTTTTTACTTTACATTTTATGTTTTTTTTTCACCAGAGCCTACATTCATCAGTACACAAAATTTGGAATTCAAGAAGAGGATTTTTTGGACAGTTTTACATTGTTAGAGCAGGTTGTTGCCAGTTATTGTAACCTCTGATCTTGAACAAAGGGGAAAAGCATCTTAAGGCATTTTTGGACTAAAATATTTGCTTTTAAAAAAAANACATCAGGCTTCATTTCCTCATCTGTATAATGGGTCCTGACTAAGAAAATATGTGGTGAGGATTAAATGAGATAATCATGTAAAACACAGTATAGTGCCTGCTTGGCTAGTAAATGCTCAATGCTTTTTTGATATTATTATTAATATTATATTGATAGTATTGTTGTTGTTGATTAAATGAGTAGTTTCTACGCCAAATGAAATTAAAGTAGAAATTTCATTGTAAGGCAGGGACAATGAAATAGTTTTCAAAAATAAGATCCTTGGGAGAGTTAGAAGAGATCTTGGTATTTCTCAGTAAGATAAATGGTACATTCAACTTTGCTTAATGTAAGAAATGTCTACTTAATACTATGAAATGTTTTAACAGATTTCTTGACTTCTACCACAATTACTTAAGAATTCCTCAAATGTTTGGACAGGGTCTCTCCTTTGATCAGCTGGGATTCCCAAGGGCCCAGCCGTCTTGCATGTGGCCAGTCTGTAAACCCCCGCTCCTCAGGACCATGAACTGTCTGTCCTCCTCTGGTGTCGTTCTCTTCCCACTCTCATTAAATAGTAGTAGTCATTATCATGACAATTTAATTCATGTCTGCCCTTAATATTCATTTCGGATATAATTTCTCCTGTCTCAGAACAAGGGGTGGGGGGGAGAAGAATTGAGAGAACCACCCCAGCATAACTACAAATTAAATGTTGTCTGAAAAGTACTTGGGAGGCTTCTGTACATTCCTAGAACTCAGTGGATGTGTTTGTAATTTCAAGCCTTAGAAAAAACTTTTCAGGGCCGGCCCGGTGGTGCACTGCTACAGTGCGCCGCGGCGGCGCT